AATAAATAATTCATTGTCGAGTAGAGTCGAGAATAGAATTATCAATGGTTCGTATCTTCGAAATTCTTATACGAGTTGTAACAGACCGCAGAATTTCATGGATAATGGATAAATTCAATTCAATGTTTCCAGAGATCAAATTTCTTATCTTGTTGGGTCCCACAATTCTAGAGAGACATCTCCTTAATAATTTCAAAGGGAAATATTGGCTAGAACTGCGTTTCTGAGAACATTTTTCTGAATGAATTTAATCTCCAGCGATTCAGATCCAACGTGAATGCTACTTTCGCACAGGCACCGCTCTTAGAACGTCTTATGGTTTTTCCTGTAGTACTTGTGTTTTGCCCTCAAAAAACGCACTGAGATCTTTTTATTTTTCAAGCGACGAAGCAGATAGTAAAGATGTATAATTCTGCAAGAATAGACAAAGCTCGGCCAGTTATTGCTATAGACAAAAAAGAAGGCATGAAAAAAAAACAAAGTTTTTCCAGAGGTACAGTTCTCCAAAAATTGGAAAAATTGCATGTTTTCACCTTTTTTTTGCACGATAAAAATCATAGAAAAACACACGTATTTAGTTATCACCTTCATATCTTATTTCACCTTCTTTGGCACATTTCAGTATTATAATGAAAATTGTTTCTATGAAATACTCCATTAATTGACAGAGATGCTTTTTTTAGAATATTACTGGTACGGTAGCCGGTCGGACGGTAGCTGGTCGGACGGTAGCCGGTCGATTCGACGTGGGTGCTTTGTTCACTCACTTAAATCGACCGCCGTGTTGGTCGCTGGTTCAAGCCCCATGCTGAACGATCGATTTTCACTTTCTATCGTCCAACCCGTGTTAGGAATCACACGTTAGAAGGTAAGACCTCGTTAGTTCTTAGCTCGCACAAGTTTCGACTTCTGAGGGTTGTCGTTCATAAGGGTGCGACAGCTCGTTAACGGAAAACATATATCAAACAGAACAGACAGATATACCCTTATAATGTAGGGATGTCACCAGAAAACGAATCTATCGTTGAATCAAGTTTTTTTATAGGAAATGTAATGTGGCAAAGAAGGTGAAATAAATTTTACTGGTCCGGACTTCCATTGTCTAATATGATACTACTATCATTCGAAATCTGTGAAAGAAAAATTGAAATTAGAATGAATAGCTAAAATATCAATTATATCAAGCAATGAAACGTTAAAAGAAAATTCAATAAAACAAATAAAATAATCAAAATGTAAATGACCACAGAGTAAAAAGAAATGAAAATAATTGAGTTGAGCAAAAATTTAACAAAGAATTGAATAGAATTGGCCGATACTTGATAAAATCCATATTAAAAAACTAATCAATACAGTTTATTCTATGATTTTCATCAGCTTTGTTCGCTGATGATTTTAAATTTTATAAGAGAATACATAGTAATACAATGAATGCCTGTTTCGTAATCCATTAATATAGTTTTATTGAATAAATACACAATTTCAGTGGTTTTTACTTACTGTCATGAATATTACGTGTAAATTTATGTCCTGGTGCAATCGACGTTTTCCGTTTAACTGAATCGACAAAGATGCGGGGTCGGTCAAGATATTAGTACAAGCGTTCACCAATCCTCAAATCCTCAGGTAAGTTACTGCTTCTTTAGGTCTCGGTCACCTTCTAAAAATATCTATTCAGTCATTCAGATCGTACTGAAAAGGCCTTTGGCAGTTTCAATATTGAGCTCAATAGAAATATCAAAAGGTTCTGACTATGAACCAAGTTGATTAGATATCCAGCCTATTTTACAAACTAAGGAAGAAAGCAAAAATTAACTCTTTACAGGTTGTATTTGGAAGTAATACTTCAATCCATGATAATAATTACACAATTTTCACATAAATAGTGTTATAAATAACGGGTTAGTCCATTCATAATATAATCTAATCAACAAGTTCAAAAACATGAAAAATAGAGATAAAGGTCCTAAAAATATGGGCGATAGCTCATTCGATTCGGAATCACCTCTAGAAAAATGTTTTTGAAGGATTTTGGTGCAGGTAAAAAATTGCAATTGTTATTAACAAAATGAGATTTAAAAAAAATGGTATTTGGTTTTTCGTTAATAACTCAAAAAATATTAATATTCAAGCAATTTTGAAAAAAGCTCGTTGAAGAGGAGGAAATTTCCGATAAAAAA